TTATCTAAACTCTCCAAGAAAAAAAGAGAGAGGTCTCAAATAAATAAAATCAGGAATTAAAGAGGAGAAATTATAACGGACTTCTCAGAAATACAAAAGATAATAAAAGAATACTATGAAAAGCTATATGGCAACAAATTGGATAATCTAGAAGAAATGGACAAATTCTTAGAAACATACAAACTTCCAAAACTCGACCAAGAAGGAGTAGATTATTTGAATAGACCAGTCATCAGTAAGGAAATAGAAACAGCAATCAAAAATCTCCCAAAAAATAAAAGTTCAGGACCTGATGGCTTCCTTGGTGAATTCTAGCAAACATTCAAAGAAGACTTAATACCTATCCTTCTCAAACTCTTCCAAAACATTGAAGAGGAGGGGAGGCTTCCTCACTCATTCTATGAAGCCAACGTTATCTTGATACCAAAACCAGACAAGGACAACACAAAAAAAAGAAATGTATAGGTCAATATCACTGATGAACATCGATGCAAACATCCTTGACAAAATACTAGCAAATCGAATACAGCAATGCAGTAAAAAGATCATACACCATCGTCAAGTGGATTCTATTCCAGGGATGCAGGGATGGTTCAACATTTGCAAATCTATAAACAGGATACACCACATTAACAAAATGAAGAATAAAAACCACATGATCATCTCAATAGATGCAGAGTAAGCATTTGACAAGATGCAGCATCCATTTATGATAAAAACTCTAAATAAAATGGGTATAGAAGAAAAATATCTCAACATAGTAAAGGCCATATATGACAAACCGACAGCAAATATCATTCTCAGTGAAGAAAAACTAAAAGCTATCCCTCTAAGAACAGGAACAAGACAAGGATGCCCACTTTCACCCCTCTTATTTAACATAGAATTGGAAGTCCCAGCCAGAGCAATCTGGCAAGAAAAAGAAATAAAAGGTATACATTTTGGAAAACAAGAAGTGAAACTGTCACTGTTTGCAGACGACATGATTTTATACCTAGAAAACCCTAAGGAATCCACTAAAAAACTTTAAGAAACAATAAATCAATACAGTTAAGTCACAGGATACAAAATCAACATACAAAAATCCATTGTGTTTCTATACACTAACAACGAGGCAGCCAAAAGAGAAATTAAGAATACAATCCCATTTACAATTGCAACAAAAAGAATAAAATACACAGGAATAAACTTAACCAAAGAGGTGAAAGATCCGTACACCAAAAACTATAAAAGATCGTTGAAAGAAATCGAAGAAGAAACAAAGAAATGGAAAGATATTCTGAGCTCTTGGATTGGATGAATTAGCATAGTTAAAATGTCCATACTTCCTAAAGCAATCTATAGATTTAAGGCAATCCCTATCAAACTTCTGACAACAATTTTCACAGAAATAGAACAAAGAATCCTAAAATTTATATGGAACAACAAAAGACCCCGAATAGCCAAAGGATCCCTGAGAAAAAAGAACAAAGCTGGAGGTATCACACTCCCTGATTTCAAAATATACTGCAAAGTTATAGCAATCAGAACAGCATGGTACTGGCACAAAAACAGACACACAGATCAATGGAACAGAAACAAGAGCCCAGAAATAAACCCACACATTTATGGACAGCTAATATTCGACAAGGGAGCCAAGAGCATACAATGGAGAAAGGAGCATCTCTTCAATAAGTGATGTTGGGAAAACTGGACAGCCACATGCAAAAGAATGAAAGTAGACCATTACCTTACACTATGCACAAAAATCAACTCAAAATGTTTTAAAGACTTGAATGTAAGACTCGAAACCATGAAACTTCTGAAAGAAAATACAGGCAGTACGTTCTTTGACAACAGTTTTAGCAGCATAATTTCAAGTACCATGTCTGACTGGACAAGGGAAACAAATGAAAAAATGAACTAATGGGACTACATCAAACTAAAAAGCTTCTTCACAGCAAAGGAAATCATCAACAAAACGAAAAGACAATCTAACAATTGGGAGAAGATATTTGCAAACCATATATCAGATAAGGGGTTAATATCCAAAATATAGGAAGAACTCATACAGCTCAACAACAAAACAACCAACAACCCAATTCCACACTGGGCAAAAGATCTGAACAGAGATTTCTCCAAAGAGGATATATGGATGGCCAACAGGCATATGAAAAGATGCTCAACATCATTAGCTATCAGGGAAATGCAAATCAAAACTACAATGAGGTATCACCTCACTCTGGTCAAAATGGCTATAGTTGAGAAGACAGGAAACAACAAGTGCTGGAGAGGATTTGGAGGGAAGGGAACCCTCGTCCACTGCTGGAGGGAGTGCAAACTGGTACAGACACTATGGAGAGCAGTATGGAGTTTACTCAGAAAATTAAGAATAGATCTACCATATGATCCAGCTATTCCAAAGAACTTGAAATAAAAAATTCATAAAGATATATGCACCCCTATGTTCACTGCAGCATTATTGACAATAGCCAAGACTTGGAAGCAACCTAGGTGCCCATCAAGGGACGAATGGATAAAGAAGGTGGTGTGTATATACACCATGGAATACTACTCAGTCATAACAAATGATGAAATCCAGCCATTTGTGACAACATGGATGGAACTTGAGGGTATTATGCTAAGTGAAATAAGTCAGAGGGAGAAAATCAAATACTGTATGATCTCACTCATAAGTAGACGGTAAAAACAGCAAGAAACAAACATATGGCAACGGAGATTGGGTTGGTGGTTACCACAGGGGAAGGGGGGGAGGGGGGAGGGCTAAAGGGGTGATTAGGCTCACATGTGGGGTGATGGACTATAATTAGTTTTGGGGAGGTGAACATGGTGTAATCTACACAGAATTCTAAATATATTGCAACGTATATCTGAAAGCTATATAATGTTATAATCCAATGTTACTGCAATAAAAAACATAAAGATAACTCCCTGTTGGACAGAGAAAACAGCTGAAATCATTGTTTTGGTTTATACATTTTCTACTATATGTGTTCTTGTAAACAAAGATATGGTTGTGATATGCAACTTTATGCACACAATGAACTCTTTTTTGGATGGCTATAAAACTGGGTTTGAGGTAGAGGATTTGAAATAAATTTCAAGAATGAAAATGTTAACATAGTCATGTCTGGATGTTAACATATCTTCAAGAACTGACTTTTAACATACCTTAAAATTCTTTCTTTTCCTTGACAGTGACTTATTCATTAAAACATAAATCAAAATCTCTTATGACCATGCATTGATTGATGTGAAAATACTATTGTAACACTTTTTCATAATAAAATCTGTGTCTGTATCCTAAGTTCTCTCTCTCAGCCAAAGTGGGTCAAAAACTTGGACCAGACTAGTTTTATCTTCTTCAAGATGACTTCATTGATTTTTGTTCCATGTTACATTCTTAGCTTGTATCAAAAACAAAAAACTTCCAAGAAACAGCGTTAGAAATTTGCTGTAGAATGACATTAGCAGAACTGTCCTCATTAGCTTTGATGCCCTGAGAAGCCCGTGGGAGACATCTGTCTCAGAAAATACATGCCAGGTAAACACATTATGAACTGGAACTTCTCTAGGATAATCATCACCGTTGAACTGAACCGTACCTCTTATTTTTCCTTAATGTCCAGAAAAATCACCACCTAATAGCACACTTCAACCCCCTGTTTATATTGAACTTGTGTTTTGCATATGTTGCTTTCCCTGTTCTTAGCCGTAGAAATAGCAAATTAGGGCTGCGGTTTCAACATTACGTTAGTGAGTTTTATGAAAGTATATTAAAAATAGAACATATACATAAATAAATATATCCATATTATGTTTTCAAAAAGCAAGTTTCTTCACTTAGAACATTTCCCTTGCTCTTCATCACGGCACAAGTGCTCGAACCTAATTTGATTACTGATGAAATTAAACATCCGAAAAGATAAAGACGGACTGAAGAACTTGGCACTGGTACACAGCAAAGGTCTTCATATGTTTTGCTCTGTGCTTGTTCCCCCACGGCTTCAAAAGGGCTTGTTAACCACAGGGAAAAGTACAAACTGATTCTTTCGGATTTAAAGGTGCTCTGGGGCCTTTGGTCTGTTGTGTTTACACCCAGGACTTTAAGTCCGGAGTCTAGAGGTTTACCAGACCACTGTCAGGTCTCCTTTGGGACACATTGCCTGAATGATGAGTGAACCTGAGTGATGGGAAAAGAATATATTCTTTTTACTGCAGTGCATTCTCCTCAGGACAGTAATTCATCCCAGTGTCCTCATCCATGCATCCCTTCCAGGCCAGTTCTGCAATAAATGTTGAACTGAATTTACCAATGGCAAGAAACACATTCATTACGTAGAGTGGAAGTATATGTGTACACGTTAGCCTCACCCGATCTTTAATTAGGAAAGTTTACCTTATGGTGATATATAAAATACAAATCAAGAAAATCTAAGACTATAGTAAAACTTCAACGGACAAATCATTGCATTTTTTCTTGTGCCACCATCTGACTCCACCAAATGAACACAATTTTCTCACCTAATGGCATTGTTTTGGGGTTGTGCTCTAAGTAGAGCAAGAGTAAAGTGACAGTGACACTGCTTGCTGAGTAGAACATTCATGAATGGCGTAGAACAGTTCTTATTTCCTGATCAAGATCGATCATCAAAAGTAGAATCTCTTTTCGAGCGTGTCTTGTGTGCTAAATTGTTAAGTGCTTTCATGAATGCTGCTTCCTTTAATCCAGCAACCACCCTAAAAAATATCACTGAGAACTTAGTATTTTGGTTGATGAAACTGAGGCTGAAAAAAGTTAAGGAATTTCTTTTTTAATGTTCCAAAGCCTATACTATTTCAATCCTTTGGGGAAATAGAGGAGATTTATGCTACCAATAAACGGAACGACATTTAAGAAAGATTTGTACTTGTTTGTTGTCCGTTAATACGTGACAGAAAAGGGGGGATATTCTCTTTGAAAAAAACTGTTCTGAGAGGTTATCTTTATATATACATACCTTTGTTCACTGAAGGAAAAAGAATCTCTTGGTCAACCCCTCCTTCATTATTCTCGTGTTGGACGATGCATTTATGTTCTTTATCCATTGACTTTCCAGTCACGGTCAGCCAGCTGAATTTCATGTAAGTGGTATCAGTCTCCATGGTATTTCCCTGCTGGGATTCCAGAATTCTATGGCCATTCTTTTCTGTCCAATAGATCTTAATAACCTCAGGGAAGAATTTCTCAAGAAGACAAAGATATGTTCCAGCCTTATGGAGGTTTACTTCAGCAATTGATGGAAGAAAAATGGTGGGCTTGGGGGAAATGTCTGCAGGAAGGCGTCTGCCTATGGGGGAAAACAGAATAGCATTTTATAAGCATCAGTAGAGAAGCACAAACACTGTGTGGTTTGGTACAACCTAGAGCATTGTAAGAGGAAGAAAAGCTGCCATTGAATTAGTGCTCACCATGGCCTTTCTTCCACCATAGTTTGGGAATATTTAATGTTCTTATTTTCAATGGGAAAAGAGGTTCCAGAGGTTATGTAACTTGCCCAGAGTCACAGTTGTTAAGTGGCAGAGGCTGGATTACAGCTTGGCCTTTGTTCTTTATCCACATGCTAAGATGGGGTATGACTTTTAACTGACCCATTTCAGGGCTTCTATCATTCATCAACACTCATATTTTTTTAAAATCTCTTATGTTCTATCATGGCGGAGCATGTTTTCAAGGTGGGTGGGTAGGAGACCAGGTAACTTTGATGATCTCTCTGCACATGAGAATGTCTGGTCCTTTCTGAAATACTTCGCTTTTGCCATCCCGTGAATTTTGTAACTTATGCTCTTTTGGCCGAATAACACTTTCTCGTGTTCTGCAACTCTGTGAAACCTCTCTCTTCATTTAACTGTTTCTGGAATGCACCATATTTGTCTTTTTTGCCATATAAATAAATATCAGGAGGAAATTTTCATTTTTTTAAAACACTGCACAGTCACTTGTTAATGGGAATCCATTTCCAAGAGGACTTGACAATCAGATTGACATTTTAGCTTCAAATGTGGATCCCATGACCAGTTCTAAGGTAATGGAGTTCTCCTGCTTGATGTCTAATTTTAGAAAATATCTCAATTTCACATCCGAACCCCCCCAGATTTTGAGTAGGGTAGTATTAAAGTTGCACCTCCAAGTTATATACAATACCTTGAATTTAGAAGCAAAATAGCAATATTTCCAAAACTCCCATTAAAAATTTATTACTTATTTTCTCAAATGCTATTATATTAATCTTATCAAGTAATACACTTGTCAGAATTTTGTTTCACTTTAGAATATGTTTACCAAAAGCAGATTTTTATTTGGAATTTCATGAAGTTAAAGCATGACTAAAAATACACCACATTTTGACTCTCAACGTCTCCTCCAAACTTTGTATCTAGACTAAAAGGCTGCTGAACTTTTTAGAGCTCCACTATTTTCTTTGTTTTAACCTGCTGAATAAAGTGTATATAAAATTGGTTTAATGTTAAACGCCACAGTTCTAGTCTCTTGCAGATATAATATCAAAATATATAACCAATCATCATAGTTTACAAAGGAATGTCACATGGATGTTGGAATGTTAGTTGATTGTACATTTATTGTTAATCTAATGATTGGAACTCTAAATACTGAAATTCTTTCCAATTTGATTTCCAATTGACACACAAAATTTTTAACATTCTCTGTGGGCTAGCTTGGAGCTATATAGTTTAATGGAGAATTTCTTAAGAAAAGGAGAATTAGATTTCTTATTTGAGAAGAAGAGAAAAAAAATTCTTGAGAAGTTCTGCCCGTGTATCAAAGCTCCTCATTTTTGTAGTAAATCAGTAACAAATGCTGAGGCATTTTTTCTTGCTATAAATACAATTAGGTCATCATGTGTTCATTTTAATTTTACACATCCTTTTAGTGTAAATTGTATTTTATTGATCGTGACAATAAGACAATATATTTCTCCAAACTTATGCTTTGTTTTTAATTTAAAATCATGTTATATAAAACAAGATTAATTTTTCAATCATACACTATATTTACATAATTTTAGTCTTTAGTCAATATATTAAAGAATCTGATTTTCATCTTAGGAAATATTGTTTCTTAATAAGAATGCTTAAGATTCATTATATTAAAGAAATTTATAATCAAATGATGAATTGGAAAATTTGTGTGTGATCACCCACTATTCTTACCTCTTGTCCTTTTTCTTTTCCTAGATTCTTTGTTTCATTCTTTTCAGGGTAAAATGAATTTCCCATTTCGATTACCTTCTCAATGTAATAATTAACTGAGCATTAAATAGTGTACTTGTGAATATATGGTTAGTGCCTATATTTTAAATAATTATAGTACATGTTTTTTCTTTAAACATTCCTTGTTTTTGTTTTTGTTCTGTTTTGTTTTGAGGAAGATTAGCCCTGAGCTAACTGCTGCCAATCCGCCTCTTTTTGCTGAGGAAGACTGGCCCTGAGCTGACACTCGTGCCCATCTTCCTCTACTTTATATATGGGATGCCTACCACAGCATGGCTGGCCAAGCAGTGCCATGTCCACACCGGGGATCTGAACTGGCGAACCCCGGGCCGCCGAAGGAGAACCTGCGCACTTAACAGCAGACCGGTCCCTAAACATTCCTTTGAAACCTTTGGGCTTATCTCGGCTTTTGATATGCCTTCCTCACTGAGCTTACTCTTTTCTAGCCTTTAATTTAAAATGAGACAGATGCAGTTCTCCCATTCACTTGCACACTTAGAGGGCATTGCAGGGTTATTAACTGGCCTAACTCCAATATTGTTGGTTCTCAGGAAATAGGGAGGGCCAAGGAAAGGGAGAGAGACGGGGGAACCGTCAGTGGAGCAGTCAGAACACACACAGTATTTATCGATTAACTTTGCTGTCCTACATAGGCACAGTTCATGGTGTGCCCAAAAATTACAATGGTAACATCAAAGATCACTGATCCCAAATCACCATAGAATATGTAATAATAATACAAAAAGTGTGAAATATTGTGAGAATTTCCAAAATGTGACACAGAGAAACAACGTGAGCAAATGCTTTGAGAAAAATGGCCCTGGTAGACTTGCTCAAGGCAGGGATGCCAGACACCTTCTATTTTTGAAAATTGCAATATCTACAAAGTGCAATAAAGCAGAGCACGATAAAATGAGGTACACCTGTACTTCTGTATTTGATTTTAGGTCTTCTCAAATAGATTGCAGAAATAGGCAATTTAAATAAATGACAAATAATTTATGCATTACATCTTGTTTCTTTTTCTCCCCAGTGGCTGATAGTTTAATAAGGTCTTACTTGAAGATGACATGAGAGCTGGGAGAATATGTTTGCAAATCCCAGCAGTGTCATATAGACACAAAACAGGCAGAATTCAAACAGACTGAAAGTACAGAACATAAGTTCAAGTTTTCGGTCCCAAAACTTTCCCTCAGAAATCAGGGGTCACCTTATGTTTCATTTCTTGTGCCACCTCTCATATTAAAAGATGCTCTTCTAATACTCGGTTGTGATAAAAAAAATACTACTTCAACAAGACCTCCACCTGAAATGAACACAATTAGCACTAGCTTTGGAGCTAGCACTGGTGAAAGAAAATGAAGAAATTTACCATGGATTGGATAAATACTACTTGGGCACAATGTTTCCACAGTTTATGCTTATGCTGCACATTTATAGAATAACAATAATGAAATAATGATTTCCCTTATTTTATAAATGGATAGTTGCCTCTTTGGATGAAATATCCAATGACATCACCCCACCGGGATCCCAAAACAGACACTCAGACCCTGAGATGACCTAGAAAATTGTTCTAAGCTACATGTTGCAGATGCATGTGAAGAGCCCAAACAGAATTTTTAATGCAGTGTGAGGGCAAAAAGAGTAATATTTCTCAACTGATATTTGCATCGATATAATTTTTGACTTGGAGCTATAATCCAAATAAGAAATTAAATATTGTAAGTGGATATTTGACTTCTAGCTATGTCACTATAAATTAATACATTCAAGTTGCAAACCCTCCCTTTTATTACCTCCAGATATTTCTACTGGAAAATGAGAGACCACCTTCTATTCAGGCTCATAATATTTAAGATAATGCTTCTTATAATCTAATCATTTTTAGAAGCAAGCAATAATTAGTCTTATAAATTGAAAGTTTTTTCCAAATACTGACCATATGCTCTAATGTGACCTGTAGACTAGAGAGTAATTAATACACTTATCTGTACTCCTGATTTCATAAGGAAGTCCAATGGTGGTAATTTGAAGCCTGGAGAATTGACATTTTTATGCCTGACCATGGTGGTAATTTCCATATTTAATTTCACTTAATACTCACAACATTCACTTGAGAGGGTTGTTGCATAGATTGAATGAATGGATGGAAATATAGAAAAATGTTAACAGAGATACATGTTGATCTAAAATTTTAATCTTTTCTTTCTTATTCACATTTTCCAACATTTTTCATAATGAGCAAGTATTATTTTTATAATTTTAGTAGAGCAATAAGGAGTGAATCACAATTTATTTGCCAAAGGATGACTATACAGAAAATGGTGGGCCCAAAATGAAAGTTCCTATTTTTCCCTGCACCAGATTCTCCTAAAAATCATTTCTCAGCACATGCATGAATTATATCTGTGCCACCATTATTTAATTTGATAGCTACAATTTCTGTTGAATAAGTAGTAAGTTTGGAAAAAAAGGACTAGAAAGTTGCTTTTTAGTCTTGGAATTCTTTCTGTATTTGATCACAACCACTAAAGAAAACAAAATATATTATTTCCTTCAGTGTCCTATCAACTTTGTGATAACTCTTTGAAAACCGTCATTTCAATTCATCTAACAGGCTAAGAATGTCCTTGTGAGATATTCTTCTTCATTCAGGCAAAAGTTCATCTTTAAGGCTAATGAGGACTGAACAAACTTATCAGGCTGAACTTAGAAGAAAAAAAAAACCCATCTTGTGAAATTCTTGAATATAGTCGCCCAAGTTAAGTATCTTATACTTGATATTATTTAGCATCCTCTGACCAAATGACAAGCTTAGTAATTTTTGTTCATTTTGTCCCGTTGGTTATTTTTGGAATCAAATAAAGAAAATGTCTAAACTTCATTACAAATTTTTAAAAACTGAAATCCCAAATGGACCTAACATCTCTACCTCTTCGGAACTCAAAATTTGTGTAACTAGTTAACTCCTTGTTAATGTCCTCCTTGTTACGTCAGGCAGAGAACGGCCTCCCAGGACCCGGTTGGAGTTGAATACTTATCCGCTAGACTAGAAGTTTTTGGAATACTGGGACTTGTTCTATGTTTATCTTCTTCCCCCATTTATCTCCAGTAACTGGCACAGAAACTGTCTTCGATAAGGTTTGCTGACAAAATGAATGAGCAAATGAGGATGTAAAACCATGCAGACCCTTTTCATGGACTTTGGAGCTGCAATGGCTATTGAGATTACAAATTCCCTTAAACTGGCCCATCTCTAGGCAATTCATCAAGAGTTGTGACAGCATAAATTTTGACAGATCTCAGCCTACCTCCACAAAGCTACAGTAATAAGTGAAATTTCCCGATGTTCTATAGTTGTTTACTTTAAGAATTAATGTTCTGCATTGCTGTTAGGGATGAGATGAAAACCGGTAACATAGGTTTGCAGCTTATACTGAGAAAGGAGCACTATGTTTTATCTCAATATATGGAGAAGAGGTAATTAATCAAGGTGTCTCTCACCTAAAAGATGATATGCAAGAAAACTATCTTGAACCAAGAACTTGTACCAATGCTTTACAGATATGGTTCAAGAAATATCTTATTTTCTAGCATGATTCTATTCTTTTCATGTGTGTATCCTAAAACTATAATCTCAATCTGCTTACAAGCACACAGGTGAGCAAACCATTTATGAAGTAGTTTGTTTTCCTCTACAGTGACTAGTAGCTTCAAACTTGCTGTTCAAATGCTGAGACCAAGTATATGACAGTAAGATAAGAGCAATCCTAGATAGATTTTTTTCTAAAAAGCATCTACCAGTTTTTCATTACTAGAGTAAAAATAGAAAAAATTTACTTACCAGAGGGAGTTACCACGAGCTTTGTCCCTTCTCCAAATTTCTTGATCCAGCCTAACCTATCACACTGGTTACAGCTTCTACAAAAACTCAGCCTCCTCCTAAGCTTCATGATGTAACTAACAGTTAAAAAACTGTGTACTGCCAATCGGATCTTTTGGGTTCCTTTAGATGTCCTTGAACATAAATTGTGTGGCATCAGATATTTTATAAGTTTTCCACAGATAAATTGACACAAACATCTGTTTTCCAACAAGGTACTACTCATTGAAAAGCACTGATGGAATATGGAAAGAAGAAGAGCAGAAAAAGAAGAGATCAGGCCCAAATGGTCAACCAACTACATTTCTCAATTACTAGGAAAAGCAATCAGAGAATTAAAATTTTTTTTTAATTTCCAGGTGTTCAATTGTGTTGAAACTGTTCAGAGATTACATCAAAGGAAAGGCCCTTTTGTTCTCACAAACACCAGAGTTGCTTCGTTAGCAATTTGGGAATGTATTTCTGAAAGGAAGAAACTCTTCAGTAACTGAAATGGAAATATGCCAATACAAATATGCTTGAGAACTGTGAACAAATTTCTGCCTTTTTAACAAAACTGCTTTTTCTATTTGGCAACGTGATTCTTTACCCAGCAATGCCAAATGAGAAAATTGTTTCTGTGACACTACTTTTCATGGTATAAAAGAACAAATTTCTGGAATTCTATCTCCTATGCAATAATAGATTATTTATTTAAACTAAAATTTGAAATAACCTCAAGCATCTTTTTGGTCACAGAATGTGAAACTAGAAATCAGCTGTAAGAAGAAACTGGAAAAGTCACTAATGTGGTAGTGAATAACTACTGGATCAATGACAAAATCTAAGGAGAAATAAACAAATACCTAAATTCAAATGAAAATGAAACACAACCTACCGAAATCTATGGAATGCAGTAAAAGTGGTACTCAGAGGAAAGTGTCTAGCAATGGAGGCCTACTGAAAAAACAAGAAAAATCTCAAATAAACGCTTTAACAATACATCTAAAGGAAATAGAAAAAGGACAGCAAATGAAATGAAAAATGAATAGAAGGAAAAAAATAATAAAAATCAGAGTAGAAATAAATGAGGTAGACTGAAAAGAAAATGGAAAGGATTAATGAAACTAAGAGCTGGTTCTTTGAAAAGGTAAATAAAATTGACATAACTTTACTGGGCTGACTAAGGAAAAAAGGGAGAAGGCTCAAATGATTAAAATAAGAAATGAAAGAGGAGAAATTACAACAGATACCTCAGAAATACAAAAGTTTATAAGAGAATACTCTGAAAAGGTATATGCAAACACATTGGATAACCTAGAAGAAACGGATAAATTCCCAGAATCATATAACTTTCCAAACTAAAGCAAGAATAAATGAAGAGTCTGAATGGACCAATCACTTGCAAAGAGATTGAAACAACAATCAAAAACCCTCAAAAATAAGAAAGTTCAGGCCCAGATGAGTTCTCCCGTGAATTCTACCAAACATTCAAAGAATATTTAATACCTATCCTTCTGAAACTTTCCCAACTATTGAAGAGAAGGCAGTGCTTACTAACTCAATTTAGAAGCTCAACATTACCCTGATACCAAACACAGACAAGGACAACACACACACGAAAAAGATTACAGGCCAATATTGCTGACAAACATACATGCAAAAATCCTCAACAATATATTAGCAGATTGAATAAAACAATACATTAAAAGGATCATGCATCACAATAAAGTGGAATTTCTTCCAGGGATGTCAGGATAGTTCAACATCCACAAATCAATCAAGGTGAGGCATCACATCAATAAAAATCACAAAATAAAGTAAATGAAGAACAAAAGTCACATGAACTCTCAATAGATGCAGAGAAAGCATTTGTCAAGATTCACCATCCATTTATGGTGAAAACTCTCAATAAAATGGGTATAGAATGAAAATACCTCAACATAACAAAGGTCATATATGACAAAGCCACAACTAACCTCATATTCAATTGTGGAAACCTGAAATCTATCCCCCAAGAACAGGAACACGATGAGGATGCCCACATTTGCTGCTCTTATTCAAGATAGTATTGGAAATCCTGACCAGAGCTATTAGACAAGAAAAGGAAATAATCAGTACCCAAATTCTAAAGGAAGAAGTAAAATGTCACTATCTGTGGAAGACATAGATTTATGTATACAAAACCTTAACATTCCACAGAAAAACTATCAGAAACAATAAATGAAAACAGTAGAGTTGTAGGGCACAAAATCAACATATAAAAATCAGTTGTGTTTCTGTACCTTAACAATTAACTAGCAGAAAGGAAATAGAGAATACAATTCCATTTACAATTGCAGCAAAAAAAATAAAATACTTGGGAATAAATGTAACCAATGAAGTGAAAGACCTGTGCACTGAGTACTATAAGACATTGTTGAAAGAAATTGCAGAAGACACCAAGAAATAGAGAGCTATTCTGTGTTCATGCATTAGCGGAATTAACATACCTAAAATGCCCATGTCACCTAAAACAATATACAGATCCAATGCAATCTCAATCAGAATCTCCATGAAATTTTTCACAGAAATAGAACAAAGAGTCCTAAAATATACATAGGAGAACAGAAGACCCCAAATAGCCAAAGCAAGCTTGAAAAAAAAGAACAAAGGTAGAGGTATAGCACTCCTGAATTCAAAATATACTACAAAGCTATAGTAATCAAAACAGCACGGGACTGGCAGAAAAACAGACGCATAGATCAATGGAACAGAACTGAGAGCCCAGAAATACAACCGCACATCTATGGACAGCTAATCTTTGACAAAGAAGCCAAGAACGGAAAATGGAGATAAAAAAGTCTCTTCAGAAAGTGGTATTGGGCAAACTGGACAGGCACAAGCAAAGAAATGAAAGTAGACCATTATCCTACAGCATATGCAAAAATTAACTCAAAATGGTTTAAAGACTTAAATGCAAGACCTGAAGCCATAAAACGTCTAGAAGAAAACATAAGCAGTACACTCTTTGACATCCGTGTTGGCAGTATCTTTTTGAATCCTGAGTCTCCTCAGGAAAGGAAAACCAAAGAAAACATATACAAATGGGACTACATCAAACTGAAAAGCTTCTGCACTGTAAAGGAAGCCATCAACACAACAAAAAGACAACCTACAAACTGGGAGAGAATTTTTGCAAAACAGAAATCAGATAAGGGGTTAATTTCCAAAATATACAAAGAACTCATACAACTCAACAATAAAAAAATGAACTGTTTCAAAGAATGGGCAGAGGATATGAACAGACATTTTTCAAATAAGATATACAGGTGGCCAAAAGGCACATGAAAAGATGTTCAACATTGCTAATTATTAGGGAGATGCAAGTCAAAACTAGCATGAGATATCATCTCACACCATCAGATTGGCTGTTATTAAAAAGATAGCAAACAACAAGTGTTGGAGAGGATGTGGAGAAAAGGGAACACTTGTACATTGCTAGAGGGAATGCAAACTGGGGCAGCCAGTATAGGAAACGCTATGGAGATTTCTCAAAGATTAAATGTAGTAATATCCAACAATCCATCTATTCCACATCTCGGTATTAACACAAAGAACACAGAAACACTAATTCGAAAGGATACATGCACCCCTATATTCATTTCAACATTATTCATAACAGATAAGACTTGGAAGCAACCCAAGTGCCAATAAATAGATAAGGAAGACATGGTATATGTGCACAATGGAATACCATTCAGCCACAAAAAGGATGAAATCATGCCATTTGTGACAACATGGCTGGACTTGGAGGGTATTACACTAAGGGAAAAAGTCAGAGAAAGACAAATGCAGTATGATTTCACTCATATGTTGAAGATAAACAAACAAACTAACACATAGATATAAGAATAGAGTGGTAGTTACCCTAGGGGACAGGAGTGGAGGAGACAAAGCGGCTAAGGGGGAACAGATATATGGTGACAGATGGAAACTAGATGTTTGGGGGTGAACACGATGTGGTCTATAGAAAAGCCGAACTACAATGATGTACATTTTCAATTTACATAAAGTTATAAACCAATGTGACCTCAATAAAATAACAAAAATAATAAAAAATAAATCTCAGTAAATGGCAAAAAAAAAGAGAACCAAGTATTTTTACCATTCTGTGTAAAACTTCATATCTGTGCAAGATAGAGAAAAAGAGATTTTCAAGTCCAACAAACCATCCTGACCACACCAACGATGAACTTTGCCTCTAACTTGGCAGACAGGATCAGTAGGAATCAGATCAGAAAACAAATTTTATTTTGTAAAAAAGACAAAAGTTGTTGGAGAAAAGGAGAAAAAAAGTGGTCAAGACACAGCCCATTACAGGTCTTTCTAGTCACCAAATTTCACATGTGGTCTCTAAGTGCTCAATAATATGCAGACAGTTTTAATATTTTGAAATATGTGATTACATTTTTAAAATAAAATTCAGAAGTGACAATTTTTTTCTATTAGACAATTTTAGCTCTACAGAAATGACAGAGAAAAGAATATGGATGATCCTAAGGTCCAGAGATGACCACTCCAAAGTTGTACCCTTTCCTTTGAACCCGTTCACAAGAGCTGAAACAAGAGCTCCCAAAACAAAAGAGTCAACATGGATTTCAGGGGGGCCTCACCATTGTTGGAAATGGGATTTTTTACAAGATGACTCCTAGATTAAGACCTCACTTTCACACAGTACTAGTATGGGGAGTTGGGTGATAGATATGTTATATGAAAATAAGGGTTTTGAAGAATTTCTTCAATTTTCTTCAGCCTTCATTAGACAATATACTGTTGCTTCTATTACTCAGAGTCATTGTGTGTCACTCACTCCAGCTCTGAAGGAAAATAAATTGAGCCAAAATCATGAGGATCTTTCAGGCATCCAAGTACACAAATCCCCCACCCACAACGTAACTTGAGCACCACAATAAGAATCAACATATTCATCTCAATTCCACAGACATAACTGAGGCCCCACAATATTTGGTGCTGTACATTCTAGTGGATGCTTTCTATGTTTCCATGAATCAACAATTTAAACCACCATTCAAATGGCAAATGTCCACTTAAGACAGGGCTGGTTTCCTCTGGCTGGTTTGCCTTTGTTGGGTGTGGTCAATGTGTCCTTGGGGGAGCTACCTCAGCTTAAAGGAGAAGGGCGGGAGGAGGAAATGACTCCAAATGTGGACTTGCTTTTCCCACAGTAGAGGTGGTTTGCTCCAAGCACCAGGCCACTGTCCTCCCCAATTTGTGTAAGTCAAGGGGACTATAGAATCGTGATTGAAAACCTAGATTTAAATTGATTTGGGATGACTATTCACAGGAGCCTCTTCGTATCTAGCTAGTCTCTCTTCAATTAAATTGTAATAGTCAACCACACTACGACAGTTGTGGTACTGAGCTCCGGTATACAAACCTGTGTGGGTCATATGTGGGTGTGTATGTGTGTGTGTGTATGTATGTGTGCGTGTTCCTGTATGAGTATGTATGCTAGTTGTTGTTTTGTTTGTTTGCTTTATATCTGCTGACATTACTGAGCTCTCACAATATGCCATGCACTGGACCAAGCCCTTAGTGTGCATCATCTCAGGAACCCTCACAACAGCCCACGAGGTAACTACAGGACCTCTGTTGTACAGGTGAGGAGATGGACTAGAGAAGCTATCGGCCTGACACACAGCTAGTAAGTGTCAGAGCCCAGGTCAGACCTGGAGCTCTCTATACCAGAGGCCTGGGTCCTAAACACTTTGCTTTACCATATGTGTAGCCAGATAATGGCAGCCCAGCAGGAGAAGGGGGCTCTGCAGGAGCAACCTGCAGCCTTGACAGAGCAGATGAGACTTGAAATGTCTGCTGTGCACAGTGCCTGGCTCACAGGAGTCAATCAAACTCTCACTGTTAGGTGAATGGAATCTTAAGCCAGAAAATGAGCTACTCCTCAAACTCCAACCCAAAGTAGACTTTGATTCAGACTCATTAAGTAGCAGTGCTTATAAACTTTTCACAAAATCAAATATCACCACTCCAGGGCATGCATCTGATATATTATCATTGTAGGCAGCCCTGCTTGTAGTCAGATCATGCTGTGTTTGATATGTTTTAGCCTCTGGGAAAATTTAATCTAATATCCATTTAATCTAATATCCAGTTTTTTAATCAAAGCAGAAAGGTGGATTAGAAAAAATTAATCTCATGCAAATTGACTAGTACAAAAGAAGTCACAGAAATTACGTGTCATACCCATCTTGGTGGAAAATAAAATACAGTGGAGGATGTTGACCCAGATGAATAAACTTGGGTGCCATGGGAAAGCCTGTTAGGGAGAGCAGATTTTTGAAAACACGAGAGTGATCATTTGCAACTACATACACAAAGCTTCCTCTTGGATAAAACATAGAATTTAGCAACTCCATACACATATTTGCCCATATGTTCATTTATCTAGAAAACTGTACAAAAGCACACAGGTGGTAATCGTGCTTTTCCATTTATAGTAGCGAATGGAGAACCACTGAACACTTACTGACTGACGTGGCTCTAACGTCTGCCGCTGTGCACCCCACAGAAGGCACAATAGTAGGTGGCCGAGTCTTCTTTCCCTGCATGGTGAACGGTGAGGGTAGATGCAGAAGTTTCAGGTATCTTTTCTACCTTGAATTTCCCAATGGAACGCCTGACTCCATCCTGACAGTGTTGTCAGATGAAACGTGCAGCAGGGGCTGCAGGGCTGGACCAGGGCTTTCCTCATACCAATATATGGATGTCGTAGAAATTGTTACACCAGATACCACACATTCCAGGTGGGCTGTTTTTGACAGCCTTTTAGTACTGGAACGTTGAGGTTGGTCTAGATGACCTGTACCATACACACACTGAAAAATAAAGAAAGGAGAAGAGTAATGAGCAAAAACTCAGAAATTTTTAAAAATTACAAAATTAGAGAATATCTGTCATAAGGGAATTGGGGGAGGAAAACAACTTACAAGCTCCAAGGACTGAGAGAGGTAATGCTTGGAAGAGTGACAGCATGTCTGAATGAACTTTCCTCTCCTCCAGGGCAGCCTGCAACCCCTGCTGAGAAGAGTCTCAGACCATGTGGCTTGGCTGAGTGCACCAAGCCAAATCTCCCACTGGGGACGGTGAGCACGGCTCCCCCGCCTCATTGTGAAGGAGCGTCCTCACCACTGTTAGCACATCCACTCTATGTGAAGACAGCAGAGCAAGGTCCTCCACCTTAGATCAGACCACATGATACAGACGGCCACCACAGAACTCTGAGAGGACTCAATTACCCAAAGAGTATTCCTGAAGCTCCCACTATGTGGGAGCATTATGCTAAGTTTCTTGGGTGTAATAAAGATGCAATGATATGACACCTAACCATGGAGAGCGGTGTAATCTGGAGACCACTCTGACTTAATGCTATGATCTTGGCCCTCTCTCATCTCTCCCACCGCCTGTCACAGAGTAAATCCTCAGTAACCCCAGTGAGTGGTGAGCCCAGAGTTGTTGGGAGGAACGGAGGGTGGTCTGGGCTGTGTTATGCATCACTGGGCCCGCAGTGAACTTCTTCAATCAGCTGGAGAAAGTTAGTTCCTCAGTCTGCTTCCATCTGTTCAGCTGCCCACACAGCCTGCGGCTCAGAGTGGTACCGGCACCTTCAGGGGTCTGAATACTCTATCCTGGTTTGTTTCCTTCTGTTTAGTGTTCAGGTTTATGCTCTCTCCCTCAGCCATCTGAACGATATATCTCTACCAAACCCCAGCTCTTCCTCTGTGAAACTGGGTTTCATCTTTTCGGATCCCTGAGTTTTCTTTTTGTCTGTTTTTCTTTTTCTAACCCAAAACATTCCATGTGTCCTAGGATATTTTTTACTTTTACACACTGCTCTTCCCCAATCCCCCAAAAGTTGCTGCTTTCCACATTTCTCTTCTCACTTTACCTCTCTGCCTGAGGGATTTCTTCCCATTCTTGGCTTTAACTATCTTAAGGGAATGGTGCAAGGGACAATAGGACGAATTACAGGTCCATCTCCATCCCACACCCTCTCCTGAGCTCCATACCCACATATCCAGTTGACTACTGTGTTCACATGTGTGACACAGGAGCTCAAACTGACTTTATGGCAAGCTCAAGGTGAACTCATTCCCTCCCCACAAACCGTCTCTTCCTCTCTCAGTGAAGGACTCCGCTACCCACTTTGTGCAAGTAAGGATCCCGAGTGTCATCCTCAATTCTCCCCTTTAAGAAAGCTTAAGACCCTGCTCAAGGTCACAGAGCTCATAAAGGGCACAGTGGGAGTCAGTGAGGGGTGAACACGGGGTGTAGGGCGGTGTGGAGGTTCACAGCGCGGCACTGGGCAGCTCCTCTGGGGAATGTGGACGATGCTGTTCTGTAAGATGAGTGAGGAGCTTGTTCCCCCTGTTGGCCACACCCTCACTGTCACCAGTTCATGGCGCTCACTCCTCCATGTTGTCAGGCACTGAGATTGGTTCTGTTTTGTTAGGACAACGGAGAAGGTGAAATGAAGGAACAGCCTGAAAACAGAGCAAAAGTAAGTTTCAGGTCCCTCTACCCCGACCCCTTCTCAGACATACTGAAGCCTCATCCTAGGCCTTCAGGAGAGGGTGGGGCTGCTGGGGTCTTTCACGAGAGGCATGTCTGAATTATCAATATCTGACCATGGAAACAGAAGATAAGGGAGAGAGACAATGAGGTAATGAATCTGAAGAACCGATTTCCTTCAGATCATTTAGACTTTCCTTTCATTAATCATTTTTACCAATGCTATTAAACTGTACATAACTTTGAATTTTCAATTGAAAATGTGTCAATTCAGCTTAGATCTCAAAGAGTTTACCCCCCCCCCCCCCGCCCCCCGACCCACATATAGCAGAATAGTTTCCTGTTTGGAGTTACAGGATAAGAAACTCTGATTTTCTTTTCTTCACTTCTATTTTCTTTTCTTTTCTATTCTTTTCTTTTCAAGAATTTGACTGGCTTTATGAGAAGGTAGTGAATATAGTTATACCTATTTCTATGATTTTACTTTAAGACAGTTATCAGAGCCACCAAATTTCAGCAATTAAACCACATCAGTTTACAGGTGACACAAGAGAAGTCCAAAGAAACTAGATATCCACTCTAATTCCCATATGGGGTGGCATTAGGGGGAAGTGGAAGGCAGAGGGTCTGATGTCTCCACAGGGCTGACTGCATCACCCTGCATGAGGATTGTCATCTACCACCGTGATCTGAGTGGCAGGCCTGCTAATGGAAGAGGTCTCCGAGAAGGTGGCAATATTGTCTCCTGTGCATCTAATCTCTGACTCCTCTGCTGCAAAGTGATTGACAGTTGGTGGGGCAACAACTTAGAAACTGGAGTTAGGAATTGACTCTCAGTCTCAGCTTTGACCATTTTGTGGCCAATCTCCAGAGATTACCTTTGAAATTATTTGCAAAATATTTTATTTATGCATTCTTCAGGGGAGATGGTCAGATTCTTAAGTTGTTAGTCTGTAACAGTGCAATAAAAATAAATGCGAGTCACAAATTAAATAGCCATGAACTAAATTATTTTAGCTGCTGTATTAAAAAAAAAGTACAAAGAACCCAGTAAAATTAATCTTAGGACTATTTTTATTTAGTCCAGATATCCAAAATATCATTTCGACATGCCATCAATATAAAACGTTCTTAATGAGAAGTTTCACTTTTCTTAACTTCAGTATATGATTTGCATTTTACACCTGCCATCCATCTCAGCTTGGACCATTGGTCCAGCTACATTTCAGGTGCTCAATAGTCACATGTGGCTAGTGCCTCCTGGATTTACCAGTGTAGATCCTCTTCCACATACTTCAGAAGCACTGCACAGGAGGATCTTTAGAAAGGCCCCATAATACTGGATGCCTCCCAACTCTGCGTCAGCCTGCGCACTAGTGGCTCTTTTTCTCTCTGTTATCTGCAATGGACTGGTGGAAGTGACATCCAGGAGAGACCAGGATGATGAGGGATGACCCCAGGGTAACCAACAGGATGTGGAGGTGGTAGAAGTTGCCAGGACTTGATGATTATGGAGTCATCCGTGTGCTTTTTGCATGGGGGACAGGGCGACTCATGTACCCGTGCTGGTTCCAGGCAGCTCAGTGGTACCCACCTGCATCGCACTTCTCTCCCCTCAGCACCGACAGGATATGGCTGGTGCCATCCTTGGCCTCCATCGTGGTGACACTATCTGCTTTTAGGACGGAATCCCACCGCACATCTGCCTGAACATGGCCAGTCGGGGGAGTCTCTCAAGGTTCCTGCCCTCCAGTGACTGTGGTGTCATCAGTGCAGTCCCCAAAAAGCTGAAGGAAGTTTAAAGGTGCTTAGCACTCTATCAAGGGTGTTTTTTAGAGCTACCATGGAGGGGATACCAGGGTCAACCGGCCTCAACCAGATCAATGCCCACTGCAAGAGCAGCGCCTGGGCAGGTGACCTAGAGATGACTAGAAAATGCCCTTTTTCCTCATCTTAATACTAAAATCTCTGCCCTAGGAGGAGCCTAGCCTTATTAGCATAACATACAATGTATGTGAGAGCATGTTTTCAGACTGTGCCTCCACCAGCTAATAATACCCACCTCTATATGTGATGACAAAGCTTCACTTTTAAATATTCACTTGCCATCTGAAATAAAAGGACCTGCTTCCCTTTGTTTGAGGAATGGGAAACCATGACTTTGGAAATGATTCCACGCGTTCTCCTATTCCCTGCAAATAGACTTTAGTTTCTGTGACAACTGCTTCTGAACAAGAGTCTGATTTTAAGTTACCAGGGAGTGAACTCATCTTGATTCGGTAGCAGCGGTACCAAGTGGATGGAGCTGACCGTGGTGTGGGCCTGTATGGCAGGATGGCCAAACTGAGCCAAGGTGATGGTGCACACCACCCCTGAGGCCAGCTGCTCCAGCCTGACCACTGCCACTTCACCTGCGACAGTGGTGAAACAGGGGTGGCAAGAGCCTCAGAGCATTTCTGTGCACCCTGCACCAGAAAAGGGGTTGGGCTTACCAGGAACAGGAGGGTCCACAGCAGGGAAGGAGCCCAGCATGGCCCTGCGTGCTGCCCTGGTGGAGAGAATCCCAGAGTGACCTTACCAGCGGAGCCACACATTGGTGGGTGGTGGAGGCCAGGTTAGGCTCATGACCAAATCGCTAACCAATCAATGAAGGACAAGTCTGGCCTTTTGCCTGATGACTGAATCTCAAGCCAGCCTGTGCAGTACAGTCCTAGCCTTGCCTCATCTAGCACCAACGAACTCTTCTTTAATACAGCTTATGTCATCTTTCTCTCTTTCTTCCATAAAAGCCCTGACGCCCTCTTCTACGTAAATCTGTTTCCCCGAATTGCAATTTTTGATCACTACAGGTTGACAACAGCTACAGAGAATGAGGTGGGGATGTCGAGCCAGGTCTGGCTGGAGACAAATCTCATGCATCATTTGCCACTTGATTCTAATAGAGCAATGAGTACGCTGCTTGCTTGGAAGGGAGGGACAAGCACAGAACAGCAATCCCTGCCAGACACCCATGCCCGTAATCTCAGCTGCATGGGAGCATTTCGCCCAGAGGTCCCATTAGAAGGGGATTTTAAGTGCCCTAAAATAACATGATAGCTCTGGAGTCTTGGTGAGTTATGTCACCTTGTTTTCCTCATCTGTGAAAAGAGACCTTATGGGGTTACGTGGAGAGTAAACAGGATGATGTGAGCAAGCATGTAGCCCAGTCCTGGATGTGTAGAAATGTTCAAGACATGGTGGGGTTATTGTCTCATCTCTAAACCTGAGAGGTTGCAGTTGATCATCTCAGGGGTCCACATAGAGTGGAAATTACAGAGAATATCATTGTTTTGGAGAATCGGGGTGGGGGGGGTGTAGCCAAAAGAAGAAGCCTAGATTGAAACAGGAGGCAGTGAGGGTCAGGGAGCAGGACCAGGTCCTCTCGTTCCAGCACCATATCCTCAGAAATGGTAAGACAGGACGTT